AGAAGAAAAAATAGAATTTGCAATAAGATGATCTTAACAATTCTAATAAAATCTTAAATTAATTTCAATTAAATTATAAAAATATCAATCAATCTTTGATTAAATTCAAAAGAAGTCTCAAGAATTTATATAAGAAATATAAAGAAATCATAATTTAATCTTATTAAAATACAAAAAATAAAAAAATCTTAAATAAATATCAAAAATAGAAATTTTTATTGAATCCTAATTAAATCCTAATATAACCTTCAACAAATCATAATGAAATCCGAAATAAATTCCAACCAAATCTTAATGAAATCTTAAATCATAAATAAATTCTAATCAAATCTCAAATAAATCTTAATCAAAACTTAGATATATTTTAATTAAATCCTAAACAAATTCTAAATCTTAAATTAAATCTTGATCAAATCTTAAATTCTAATCCTAAATAAAATCTCAATGAAACCCTAAATCTTAATTAAATCTTATCAAATCCTAAAAAAATCCTAATCAAATCTTAAGTAAATTCTAAAGCCTAAATAATTCCAAGAAAATCTCAAATAAATTTTAATTAATTACGATAGATGTTTGAAAAATTAAGAAATATTAATTGAACCATAGATCTTAAGAAAAAAAATTATCTAGACTTCAACTAATAAGCAATTAATAAGCACATAAAATTTAAAAAAGAATTCGACTTACCAATTGTAAATAAAGCTTCCAAAACTTCTTGGTTATTGGCTGCCTTCCTTTTCCAACTTCCATGTTGATTTTTCAACACCAATTTTTCTTTACTAAACCATTAAATTGCTTCAAAAATTAGATTTTGTGTAAATATTCAAGTCTTAATTGCACACACCAAATTTTACTTCAATCCAACTAGCAGATATAGTTAGATCTTGGAATCAATCATTAATCCTAAATCTCAAATTTTTGAGACCATAACCACAAAAACCTTCATATGCTTTAATCTAATTGCTCAATTGACCTCAAATTTGTCACATACATTTGCCACAAAACAACAACAAATTATCCAATTTTCACTTATAAACACACTACAAAACTCACAAAATCTTAAAATTTCTAAACTTATTTTTATTTCTTAAAATCCAAATCTACCAAGTACATTATTAAATTTGAAAATCCTTCAAAATCTTAATATTAATCCGGATAATATAAAATCAACACTCAAAAATCTTTTCCTAAGTTTTCTCTCAAATTCCACTCTCCAATTTAAAAACAAATCTGGAATCACTATAGGTGCTTGGTTTTGTACCTTTAGGTCTGATTTTGACCATGGTTGGCAATCAATCCTCTTTGAATATCAATTCTTATCTTCTTGAGGTAATTTTTAGTAAAATAAAATTCTAAATTTTTTTTACATATTTTTATATTCTTTATTTTTCTATTCTACCTTATTTTGCTTTATTTATGGCTCTATAAAGTAAATAGAATCTATTTTTATTAAAATCAATTTTAACACTAATAGATTTTACTACTTGCCTATTATTTATCTATGTTTTTTTATTATATGTTTTTAATTAGGCTCTTCTATAATAAAATAATTTCTTTCTTCTTTCATGTAATAGTTGTGTTACTACATAACAACAATTTTGTAAATCAATGTTTGATTTTAATCTTTGTTCACAATTTATCCTCTTTGGATATTAATATCTAATTTTTTAGGTAATTTTTTCTAAAAGATACTTATAATATATATATATTTTTATAATTCACTTTTTAAATCTTTTTTATAATTTTAGAAAGATAATAGAAATTACTTTTTATAAAAAAATAGCATTAATATCAAATATTTTAACTTTCTTTCTATCTTTTATCTATGTTTTTTTACTTTATTTTTTAATAATTTCTTTTATGATATAATGCATTTTTTTAATCAATATTTATATATCAATACAACACTATTAGTATTTTATTTAGTTATTTATTTATTTATTTATCTATATTTGAAATTTAAACTTCCAATTTGGCAAGAAATTGCTTCTAATATGTCTCAAGAAACAATCTCTTATTATACTATGAGGATTGTCCTCCATCTTGTCAAATGTATCTATATTCCAATATAAAAGACTATTGGTAGTATCTAATATTGAAAAAATCTAAAAAGCCTTGTCTTTTCAAAAGACTACTTAGTTACTTGCAATTATCAAATAGCTTAAGGACAACTTGTATTTGCAATCATTACCAACCTTTGCATTTCATTGGCAATTATATCCAAGTCATTGTAGAGCCAACAAGCATGTTTTCTTGGTACAAAGAAATGTATCTTTCTAACCATCTATCCAACATCATCACTACAAAATACTTATAAATATAGATTACTGTAATATAAAAAAAAGCAATACTAAAAACCTCTAGTAACAACATATGCAACTAAGAGAAGGTATTGGAGACAAAAACAAAAAATCATAATTGGATCCTCATGTCAATAATATAGAAGAAAAATTTACAATCAAACAAGAGGAATTGATTTTCACCTGCGATTGATGGTCAAAAATTATATAATCTAAGACAATAAATATAGATTACACCAAAGTCTAAAATATGAAATGTAAAAAAAAAAAAGAATTAAAACTTACTTGAAAAAAATGATAGTATTGAATAAATGACAATTAAGTACTGTAAATGATTTTTATTTGACAAGCCAATAACACCATTGGTTCTTTTTAGGAAACTTCTATATATTAATGACTTAAGAAATATCATATTTGGACTTTATGTGCTTTTAGATTGAACTTCCAAACATTAATACTAAAGAGTTCTAGTATCAAAGACATTAATATTGACATTTGTGATTAGAAAGATAAGATGAAATATATAGAACTAAAAGTAAGTAAATTTGATAATATCTTATAAAAAAGCTATTTAGAAGCTTTGTAGAGAGGATTTAACTTTTTAAGTATTGATAGGTGATTAGTAGCTTCAAAATCTTGCTAATAAGTTGCCCATGTGGCACACATGTGAAAAAAATTGTCTTGGAAGTGTGACATGTATTTGACAAATTTGACACGTATTGTATGATCTATAGAATATTTTCATATACTTTTCTAATTAGTTAGTACAAATAGAAGCAAGAATGAGGCCTTCTTCATTCTTATCAATGCCTTTCTTGTACTCTTTTCTTTACTCAAGAATCTCTAGTTTGTTGGTATTTAGTACTAACTATTTTAATTTCTATCTTATATTTGTCTTTAATTTGTCTACTTTCTCTTTTTGGGTATGACAAGAAAATATTTTTATTTTCAAGTTTTTTTATAATTCATGTCTTTGACATCAAATAAAAAAATTCATTTTTTTTACTTTATTTTCAATAAAAATTCCTACATAATAGGTAAACTTAGTTTGATTAGATAAAAAATGGTGGATAGATGAAAAACTTAGCAATGTTCATGCATTCATCCTTGCATATCATTGTGCGCTTTTTTGTATCACTACACACCATTGCCTTTGTATGTCATAAGTTGCCACTAATTATTGTTGAATACTGCAACTCTACCCGACACAAGCTGTCATGTGCAGAAGCTCTTCATCTAACACTACTCTTTGTTCTCACATGTCCTCGCGGCTTGCATTGATAGAGTGGCTTCAAAATTGGTGAAGCAATTTGAAGCAAGTATTATATCCTTGAGGTATAAAATTAAGGAAAAGATATTCCATCCTCACTCTTCTAAAATTCAATGCTTCTATCTTGCATGTAGAAAAAAATCCTAAATTTTACTTTATGGCTAAGTTACTATAACCAAGCAAAATCTTACAACCATGACTTTTGTCTCTTAAAAATACTCACAAGTCTTGACTTGACAAGAATATCAAAGGATATTCTCTATCTATATCATCAAACTCTAGTTGACAATAATAAAGTAAACTAATAAAAAATACTAAATGGATGAAAACACACTAAATTAACATAGACTACATTCATCTCACATATTTTGGCACTTAATGCCACATCACATTACATTATAAAAACATAGTCAATTCTTTCTTTTGCTATTTCTACCACAACCATTTTATCATGGTTTAATATATATATCTTTTTGATTAGAAGAAAAAACTAAAAAAAAATGTTGAGTGGGTGGTGAATTATAGTCGCAATAGATAACATTATTGTTGCTTTAGCAATACCATATATATATATATATATATATATATATATATATTTTATTTAACTTTTTAGTTAGATGTTTGAATAATTTAAACACAAGAATTTGAAATTCTAAAAGTGGAAGAATCATTTGAAATTAATTAATTTCTTTCTATTTTTTTAAAAAATAATATATATATATATATATATATATATATATATATATATATATATATATATATATATATATATATATTATTTTGATAATTTTCATTTTTAAATTTTTTTGTAACTAAAAGATAATCTATAATTATGCTTAATAGGTTTTACAAAAGTACTAATATAGATCAAACTTGTAAGCAATAATCACACCAAACATTAGCTATTATTATTATTTCTAAAGAATTATATTAAATCTAAAACCTGATATTAAAAAAATAAAAAATATAAAAATATAAAAAATAAAGTATCTTAAGAAGTTTAATTTAGTGCAATTAAAAATCATAACTATGTCTGAAAATGGTGTTTTGTATTTTGCTTGTTTGTTTCTTTTTTACTTTATTCTTTCTTTAAGTAGACAATATTGCATAAGCAGAAAAACAGCATTAAAATTTAGAATGCAATAAAATTATGAATATACTTAACATACAACATTGAAAAGATATCAAAATTAAAACACAATCAGGATTTGTTAAGTTTTGCTTTTTACAAAAAAATTTAAAAAATTATTGCAAAAAAGTGAAAGTAGATTAACAAATCAATAATTTAGAAAAAGTTGTAATCATGAAATTTTTCTAATTATGTTATCAAGATATAGCAGAAAATGTTAAATAGAAAAGAAACAAAGAAAGAAAGAAAGAAAAAAAAGCATTGAAATATGATTGATATTTTCATTCATTGGAAGAGTCAATAATACAACTTATACTTTACTTATGAACATTATTTCAAAACATTTGGGCATTTATAAATTAACTTCCATCTAGAAGAAAGAAGCTGCTTGTTGGGTACATTATTGACATATTTACCAAAATTGGAGTGTGATGCTAAAGGAAGCTAAAACAAACTTGTGAGATTTAGAAAATTCTAAAGCTCTAAAGCTCACAAGATACTACAATTACCTATTCTTACCCTTCTACTGCAGAACCGGAATAGATGGACTGCGCAATACCTAGTAGTATTTTCTGGAAAATAAAATCTCTTCAACATCAGATATTGAGCACATCAACGCAAAAGCTATGGGTACCAAAATATTCCTTCTTGTAATACGTCTACAAGAAGGTACTAATGACCACTTAGAAGTGGCATTCAGTCTAGTTTTCGGACGTTCACATCTTCTCCAGGTTTAAGAAAGCGAACAGGAACCACAGGAATACTATACCACCATTCGTTAAATCGTCTTTCAAAAGTTGAAGGACTTTCTCTTTGACCCTGCAACCCGCTGGTGAACGTATTCACAAAAACAATGAATACTAACCATCTAGTAGGTAGAACTGCCAAACCCAAAGCTGCTGCTGCCAATAAAGCAGCCACTTGATTTGAAGCCTGCAAAAAATATCAACCCACCAGTTAGCACGTTGACAGAAAGACTGGTTAAATGATAATTACGTACTGAAGAGCATAACATTGTCATTTTCACAACCTACATTCTTTAATACAGTTCTATACTGCGAATATCTTGCTAAAATAACTATAATTTTTGGCTCTCGCTACCCAGTCCTTAAAACAGTATGATTGATGTACCAAGTATTAACTTAACTCAACTTAGAAAACTAAAGATATGCAAAAAATGAAATAAACAGTAAAATAAATCCTTCCAATACATTCACTTGTACGTCTAATTCATCTACAAAAGAACGTCTTTAATTCTGAACGCTTATATGCTACAATGCGGCTCGCAATCAAATCAATCGCAAAACTTGAGGAAAAACAAGTTTTCGACACCACAAAGGAAAGAACTCCTGTTGGGTAGAATAAAAAAAAGTAGGTGCAAAAGAGAAGTTGTAAAGTAAACAACAAAAGAAAAAAAACCTCGGGATAATTTGACAATAACAGCGCACGAATCTTCAGCAGAGCGATATTAATTCCTTGAATGGTTGCTTCCGCTTGAGAAACAGCCTGTTGAAGAGCAGTCAAGGCTTCCACTGTGCTGGTACCTTGAGGCACGGGGATAAGTACCTCGCCAGAACGAATTTTTTCTTTTTTCTTCAAGTACCGCAGGTAAAATATGTATACCGCAGCTGACAACAAAAGTACAGTAGGAATGTATGATAGTAGATCGCTGATCACATGCCAACGATCCTCTATCAGCAAGAGCAACCCATGAAAACAAACAAACAATTCAATATGTAGTTTCAAAGTAGAAAATATCTACCATTTCATTAGAAACAATGTCCTAATCCGTATTCATAAATTGATGAATATTGAATAACTTACAAGACGATGAAGAGGAACACAACAGTAGCAACTGCAATGGTTCTGGTCGGATTTTTCCACTGGAGAATAGATTGAACCTCTTCAAGAACCTCTGGAATAGGCTTTAACAGCTCCTGCAGCATTAAATTCCAATCAAGTCAATTTCTAATTATTCATACAATTATTGCCAATACACTCCAATCTAATCATTAGAAAAATTCAGCAGAAATTTCAAGAAAGATTATCAGTATTCGGCCCGTCTTTATGGCTTGTGATATCCACTGTAGTCTTGCACAAGCTCCAAGACTTGTAAAACATCCACCCTCTGTCTGTCCATCAATAGCATCAAATTACAAAACTACTATGCCGCATCGAAGAACACGAAAGACAACAATGGCAGCGAGATGATCCAGACCGTCAAAATTTGTACGTTTCTTCCTATGCCATCCCCTTTCACGCTGTCAACAGTAGCTTCAGCTTTTTCTACTTTCTTCGTATTCTCCCGAGAGTCCAGCACCGTTTTCTCCAATGCAGTCTCCTCTCCGATCATGACCTCATTCACTGGAGATAATGCGTCACGTTGGTGTTCCGACGTAGGGTGAGGAGTGGGATCTAAATCGAGACTAGCTGCAGACGCAGTTGCTGTGCTTGAGTATACTTTATTCCCTTCGTGGTGATCAAGAAAAGTATCACCACTTTTACCATCTCCATGGTGACGTAGAGTATCAGCTAGAGCTCCCATAACCTGGTCCCCGTGAGGCATATTGTCTCCATAACAAAACGTAAGAAGGCTATCGGCACGAGTAGGCAGCACTTTGATAGTCTCTCGAAGAGCCCGTAGCCTTGCTATACCTAGAACAGCTCTCGCAAGTGCCTCAGATTTTCCAACACCTTTTAGCTTGTACAGTCGGCAAAATTTGTGACAAGCAACGATTTCTCGAATAATTGCAATCCAGTAATCACGCCTAGCGTGTCCGGTAATTTCTGGAAATTCAAATACTAATGGTTCTTGCCTGCACAAGAGTGAAATCCAATACCCAAATCAGTTTCATTGTGACAGGTCATATGGAGATACTTGCAATCCTTTTGGAACCTGAAATTTTAAGTTTGAAACCAGGAGTTACTTCCTATGAGAAAGTAAGCGCTATACTTGATTCTTCTTGCACATAATAGACAGCTTGCACAAAAACACAGATAGCTTCTCCCTAATTTTGACTTTTACATACTAAGTAATTACTCACAGTAGTCAGGGGAGAGAAACTTGTAATAACTATTTAGGTTTTAGTTACGAATTGTTCAAACATTTAAAGTCATGTCAAATTTCTACGACGAATATGGTTCCAGGTACATACACCTCATTAGACTTGAACATGATGGCCTTGTCGAAGATCTTGGTGCCCCAAGGCCCTGTCACTTCAGGCTTAACTTCATATTTCAGATCTGATGCCAAATCAAATCTCTTTGCATCACTGTAAGATAGTATCCCAGCCACCTCGAAGTAGATCGCATAATTCGTTACTGTAAACCTTCCTGCACAAAGATGCACACACCAACAACTTAAAATCAGTGTATTCCTCCAAAAATATTTTAGTTTTAATTTATAAAAATAAAAATGAAATATTTTTGAAACTGAAAAATGTCCACCATTGCAGCAGAAATATCAAATTTCCAGCCAACGGTAATCATGAAAACGAGACCAAAGTTGTTGCAGCCCCGCCAGCGAGTAGTCATCATACATTTGCTTCATCTAATTGGAAAAATTAAAATAAAACATTGCAGAACCACACACACAAGACCAAAGGAGTGCTCACCTGGATAAGTAGAACTACCCACATGTTCAATAACCGTCTGACCAGATGATCCCCCGTCCGTGTCTACTAGAATCTCATCAGATTCTAGATGGAGTACTTGTTTCACTTCCGGAGTAAGTTGCGACTTCATCAATTTGATTGACCTGCTCCACACATTTGATCAACTCTTCGTTCATGCTATCAAAGAAGTTGCATCAAAGGAATATCAGATAAAAAGATTCTCAAGGCTTACTTGTCAAGTTCACCAAGGTATTTATCATAAAGTTGAAATGGAAGACGTGCCCCAGTAGTATTGGTGAGAGCTTCCCATTGAGGATACACAGTTACAAGGTCTGCAATCGCCGGAACTGCAGGAGCTATCCGTGTAAATGCCTCCAACCCAACTGTTTGTTCCACTTCGGCCTGAAAAATTGTGGTAATTTTTTTGTCAGCAAAGAACAACTTGCTGATCAGCGGTATCGTGGTATCCGGTATTGTGAGCTTCTTCATGTATATTGGTATGAAATAAATCTGACAGATATATCTACATCAAGGTTTGTTTTATATAAGCACTATTTATCAAGAAGACGACAATCATCAGCCAACCAAGGCTAAGAAATACTAATAACGACTGCGGATCATGTATGGCCATTCCATCTGGTAAATGCAAATAACTGTGCATAGAATACTAACCATCATGGGCATTAAATCATTGTAAAAGAGTGCCGATTCTTCCTCATCGTCATCAGCACCCAAAGCTGCTGCAACCTTCTCCGCTTCTTCGAGCTGTACATCCTTTTGCTCGACCTAAAAAATCGAAGAGAGTACAGAGACCTTACATTTCTAATTATCATTAATCAATCTTTTCTATCATCTCTATTCTAGGATCATTGAAGTCGTGCAGGAAGATAACCTGAATTAGTAATAACCACTAAACATTTTACAAAAAAACCACGAGATGCGTTCATGATTGTTCATACCTTTGATACATTCTTGTTAGTTGACCCAGGAGCTTCCCAAGCAAGCATCATATCATAAGTTAAACGTCGAAAATCTACATCACTAAGGTGATCTTCAACTTGGGCAGAAATAGAAAGTGTTCTGAAACAGCAATACTCCAAAATACTACGGGCATATTTATCTTTTGTCTTCGCTGATAGAGGCGCTTCCTTGTCGAATTGCTCTTGCAAATCCTCAGGGCGGACCAAAAGTATCCTGTTCATATCAATAAATCCACCCACAAGTAGTCCATGCTTTTAGTCTCCCATCTCGAAAAAACGACATCGTCCTTCAGGTCATCATTTACAATAAGGAAATCGCAATACATCATTGATCGCGTTACAAGAAACATGGAAAAGACTTTGCACCTTGCGCAGCGCCCAATCACATTGTTCGCTAGAGGAGATAGCTCTTTCACCGATTTTCTTGTTCCAGATGGAGTTCTTTCTAAAGCAATTGGCTTCTCCGGAACCTCTGGCTTGGCCCCAAAATAACCTTTTATCGTGTCCATTTTACGTGCTTCTTTCTAAACTCCAACCTGAAAGAATCACATTAGTGTATTAAATTCCAGAGAAAGCTACCATGGTCAAACCGAAACTATCAGAAAGATGGAACGAGCACAACAGCAATAATCACTACTGCCACTCAAACTTGTAATCCTACAATAATTCACTCAGAAAAAAATTGAAGTGATTTTTTGTTAAAAACTGCGGGCATGGCGAAGTGCATGAAACTAATTTCAGTTGAAATCGGATCAAGATAATTTTGATACAGATCGAACTTACCAATTTAGGTAGAAATTTGGATAAGTAACGCCGCACTCCCGAGGATGGTACTTTTATGAAATCGCTCAACTTCTCTAAATGGCTTCGACGCCCAGAATGCGCATGTGACTGCCAATCGAAGCGCTCTCAAAATTCCTGATTGAGGAATAGCATGAAAAAACCGAGACAATTTCTCTCATTGAAACGAGTTAAAGTAAACCCCTGTCTGTAATGCGAGAAAACCAAAAGACGATGGAGGGATGACCAAAGATCTGGTTACCGTATATTACCTGTGAACTTCACAATTGGAAGTTTCCCGAAATTTTTTTTATTAAAAGACGCCTTCAGCTCAACAGCAAGCACAACACGGAATGGGTGAAAGAAATCCTGCAGAACCAATCACTCATCAATTAAAGAAAGGGGCAGCCTCCCAACAACAACACCAACAACAACAATCATCCAAAGATTCCCCTGATTAAAACCATACCACCCATGCAAACTACCACGAATACTATCACGAATGTTTCACCCTGAACAGAGACCCGCTAAACTCAACAAAGAAAGTATTCAACATAACACACAGCTCGTCACCGCCACACACGCACACACACCCAAATCAACCGCCCAGAACCCAACGCTCACGTTCAAGCATCGATCGACGTACGTGACAAAACCCTGCCTGGTCGATGAAGAATCCATCCGACACTGAACTCAAAAACCCAACTCCATTAAGCTTCGGTACCTCTGTCGTTCGCTCCCTTCTCGACCGCACAGTAGCGGAATCCACTCCATAAGCGTTGCGACGAGATACTCTCTCTCCTGGTTTGAGAAGAGGGGCGATTGAGAAATGCTATATGCTGCGCCATTTTGAGCGAGGAAGCGACGCCAACGAGAGGCTCTACTCATGGGGGGCTCGGATTCAGCCAAGTGGACACTAAGGCACCGAAGCACGGCGATGCAGGCGTCGACACGTCACGCGGCGGGCCGCGCTGGCTGTCAGGAGAATCTGCGCTCGTGTCCAGCTCACCTTTCCTGGACCTTGCGTGGCGTCCTACGTGGACAGGTTATAACAGTGGCTGAGATAAAGTTTGTTATTTACAAAATTCTACTTCTTCAGCTTCTTTTTAGTTTTTGCTTTAGGGTTTTGGTTTACCATATGTTTCACTTCAGGTTACGGGATATTTGTTGTTTCCATGTATGTGATTGATTGATAGGTAAAATGAGTGTTTGTGGTCTTTTAGAAAATCTGTTTTAAGATTTTGCATTAAGGATTGAAATTATACATTACATAAAACATTATATATATATATATATATATATATACATATCAATATATCAATCAGTAAATATAGGTAAGTCACATATATGTAAATCAATGTAAATAAGAGAATTATTGAATCGAAACATGTTTTTGTTTTTTTGTTTAGTTTGGGCTGTTACAACATAGGTCTAGTGTCTAACAACAACAACTCTATCATATTAAGTTTTAACTATATACGCCAAACTAAAATTTGATAACACTTGTCTTGTTATCACACCACATGATACTTTTGGTACTCTACTAAAATCATATGGTAATACCACCAATTTAAGTTTTGAAATTTATGAACATTCTTTTGAAAATAATATGCAAAAAAAAAAAAAAAAAAAAAAAAAAAAAACACTTGGCAGTCTTTAGAAAAAAAAAATAAAAAGAAATAAAAGAAGATATTTTTATATTTTGAATATAAAATAAACACACCAAACTTTGATATTAAAAACATATTTTTTTTTGAATAACTTGTATAAAATTTAATTAAAATTAAAAAATAAACTTCAAATATGTCTTTATTTTATTTTTATTTGATTTTGTCTTTTCTCTCTCGTTTACTTTTTCACAATCATTGTCTTCCAAAAGGCACAACACTGTCAAAGAAGATTCATGCTTAGGAGTAACTTCAATGCCATAATTTGATTGATGCAAGCCTTGCAAGTGTTGATGGAGAGTTGTGAGGCTAATTGGAAGCAAATGCCCTACATCCACGCCTTGCTTCATCTACGTTGCCAAAAAACCCTCATTGAATACCTTATGTAGTCTTTAAAGTTGTGTCATTGGAAGCAAAAGCTTAACTTAAGAGGTTTTTTCTTGATGAGTCGAGTCTTGAAAAGTATGCTTTTAAATTACACATAAATGAGACCTTTGCTTGTTCCAATCTCACATTAGTTGCATTCACCACAAATAATTATTAGCAAAGATTTGGTCAATTGAAGTAAATTTGAAGCTAGATTAGGTCAATTGGAAGCAGATTTGAAAAATTAGGTTAGAAGAATTTTATGTCAAAATGGATAGTTTTGTAAATGGATGAAAAAATTTATAGATTGAATGAATACTTTTAACATAGATGATAATTGAGTTGGACAAACTTAAGTTGAATGATAAGTTATTCATGGATGAAAAGTTATTTGCAGATGAAAACTTATACTTAGATGTGTTTTTTGTTCATGGATGAAAATTAATATAAAACATATAAAATCAAATAAAAATAACAAACAAAAAATAATGATTGAGAGTAAAGAGAAAGAATTTTTGATTATATATTTTATAAAAGAATTATTATTATTATAAATATGAGTAATCAATCCACTCTTAACTTCCTTAAATTGGATATTAGGATTTAAAGAAGTTAAGAGTGGATCCAATTGAATATTAGGATTTCTAAGATTTCTATAATTAATTCATTTGTTGTGAATTAGAACAAACTTCTAATTAGTAGAGGTTTATTTTAGCTCATATGTTGCAATGAATCCAATTTCCAATATTGCAAGCAATTTAGAATAGTAAATGCAATGATCTTACCAAGTCATTGCAAGCACCTCCAATTGAATCATAAGAACAGAGACACTATAGGGATTTGACTTAATCTAGCAGTGATGCACTATAAGCCTCTATCAGAGTACTTGTTGGCAATTTCTTTTCTAACTCAACAACAACATGAAAGTCTAGCAATATGTTGAAGAGGAACCAAAAAATCAAATGGAGAAATCTCTAAGCAACAACAATTTGTTACTAGAGGCAATCAGAAGAATATAGTTGTAGCTCAATCAATCAACTTAGAAATTTGAATCCACAACCAAAATCCATCAACATCATACAATAGTGAAAGACAAGAACAAGAACAATAATAATCTATTTCTATTGAATGACTATTCAAGCATAGCTAGAATTGGAAGAATGTTAATAACGTAAATTTGCTACTATGGCAAGAATGAGAACAATTACAATTTCAATGTTGCTACTAGTAATGCAAAAACTATCCATTGATATCCAACTTGAAATTAGCTCACTATGAATGTGGATCACAAGATGCTCATACTAGTAACCCTTGTTTATTAGCTGGGCAGTCACAAATTCACCAATATCAATGTGAGGAAAGATTAAGGTTTAGCTTTTGGATACAAAATTGGCACAATATACATTAGCATCTACAAAATCATATCTATACCAATATCCTTGGAACTACATGGCAATTCTACTAAATTAAAAATCATAGCAAAATCTTATTGAAAAAAAAGAACTGAGTGCCAAATACCAATGTAAATGAACTGTCAATTTAAAATGACACCTATTGGACTCTAGCTCTTCAACACCACACCGATTGAATAAGATCTCAAATAAAATACTATTACATGTCTTTTTCTTCATAAAAAGAAAAAAAATCAAATAACCACTCTGATGTCTTTGTAGCACCATTGTAGTCACACACATATAGACAAAAAACAACACATAAGAGGGATTTTTTTTTATTGTTGGAGCTTCAAATAATTTCTACAAAAAAAATAGAAAACAAAAAAAAAATATGGAATCTGAAGCAACTTGGATCTTTATCAACAAAAAAGCTGCGAGTGTTCCTAAGTAATGTCTAATCCTTCTTATTAACTTCTTCTATTTTTATTTATTTTTTAATTTTTTCTATTTCTATTTCTCTCTCTATTATTTTTTTTCCTATTTCAAGTATTTTTTTCTCTATTTATTCTATTATTAATATATTTATGTATTAATTATTTATACTATCATTTTTTTTTAAAGTTTTATAAATCAAAGATTACAATTCTACTTTTGACTTAATTTAAATATTTAATTATAATAAAAATTATTACTATAAAATCAAAAATTTATATTAGCTAACTTGAAAGAACTTATCTATATTGGAATTTCTTCTCAAGAAAACTCTACAACAAACCTCTTCTTGTAACTAACATTCTATTAATTTTTATATAATTCAAAATTCTTACATTAATTTCCTAAAATTTTGTTTTAAAATACAATAAGTACATTTTTGTACTAAAATATACCAATGAATCAATTTTGTGACTCATAGCAAGAATAAAGTTTTAATCCAAGGTATTGAAGGAGCTTGACAAGGACATTATTAACATTGTTAAATATTGTGTCTTTTATTGCTAATACATTAGGAATGATAAATTCATTGTGAAGAAGATCAACTTTGCTAGATATAGTGCTTTATGAATGCTAAAAATATTTTACAATAAATTTAAATTAAATTTTTTATAATAAGCATTGTGTAAATAATATACATTAAATATAAGATCATATACTATTTGAGAATTATTAGATATTATCATAGACATATATTTATTGTAATTGTTACTTAAGTGATATGAATAGATAGAAGTTAAAATAGATTAATTTTATAATATCTTCTAAGAAAACTTCCTAAAACCTTCATAGATACTATTTTGACTTTATATGTATTTATAGTTGATTGATAGGTTAGAAACTTGGTCAATATATTAACCACGTGCCACACATGTTGATAGCTTACAAAACAAGCTAATTATGTGGTACTTATTGAGAAAACTTGTGTTGCAAGTTTAGATATGTATTATGCAAAGTCAATATTTTTTGAAGGTCCCATAGAATGTCGCCATGTAGCTTCTAGGTAGATAATATATATAGAAGCAAGAATAAAGCCTTCTTTATTTTTGTCAATTTCTTTCTTACTTTTAGTCTAGTTTCAAGTAGTTTAATTTTTTTAGCTTTTGGCAATAGCCATTTTAGTTTTTTTTTAAATATATATAATTTTTAATTTCTATTTTTTCATACTTCTTTGAGAAATTCTCACTTGTTTCTTTATTTTCATCAAGTTCTTATTCTTGACAAATTGACAAGAGTGTACTTATAATATCAAATCTTTATCTTTTTTTTTAATTAAGAGTGGATTATTCCTTTTTCTTGATAAGCCATAAGTATATTAGAAGTTATGGATTATTTTCTTTAAAAGTAATATTATTTTTAATATTATTTTTATCTTCAAGTTCTATCTTTTACTTATCTTAAGTGATATTAAACATCTTTTTTTTTCTTAGTATTATTGAGGCAAATCTTATTAAAATAAAGAGTAAAATGGTACAAATGTAAGAACAATTGAGGGAGTTAATGCATGTAATACATCAATTCAATTTACTACGACAAATAAAAATAAGAATGACAAAAAATAGAGAAATAGAGATGATTGGAGTTGCTTCAATATTTACACCAAATCATATCTCTTCTCTTATAGTAGAATACCATTAAAGCACTATAAAACCAAGAATTGTCTTATTTGAGAAGTTTGATGATACAAGATCAAAGTTTTGAAAATTCATCAATCAAGTACAACTAGCAATTAAACTTCAAGTCCAAAGCTATCCAATTTTACAATCATAAGTCAAGTTTATTAAAATACTATTTTTGGATTTTAAATTATCATGGTTTTCATCTTTTATTGAACAATATGATTCAATTTTAGACAATTTAAAAGCTTTTTTAATGGAATTTTGATTCATGTATTGAA